AAGTAGTCAGCATTTGCCCTCTCCTTATGAAATATGTATTTCATATGCAAAACCCCAAGTATGTTTAGAAATCTGTAAGCAGCAAGATGCAAGCTTTCCTCATAGGCTGAAGATACATTGTCCTAAAAAAGCACAACCGAGGATTTTGTTTTACCTGTGACCATTCATCCAGCCCAAACAGAGCTTCGCTTAGACTGATAACAGGGCTGAATATCTCCCCCATGCTGGGCTAAATAATAAGGTAAGTTCCAGAGCTCAGTACTGCAGGAGACTGAAAGGGCCTTGGGGTAGGAATTAGTGAACTGAGTCTAACAATGTCCCTCTGGGGCAAGCAGATTTTCTTAAGCCCCTTTAATAGAAAACAAAACATATGCAGAGAGATACAATGATTTGTTCAAAATCACACTGAATTAAGCAAAGTTGAAAATGGAAGCCAGGTTTTTCCCAGCCTTGAGCCTCTTCCTCGAGCCATCCTTCTGCTTTCCCAGAACAAAGCAAATTAAATGGGGTGACTGCTATATAGCAGAGAAAAGTAGCTGGGATTTGCCGCCATTAAATCAGTGAGATATCATCTGCTTAATATATGAGGAAACATAAGGAGGGAAACCTCAAGTAACTGCTCAATAGTCATTCTCCGCAGTTAAACAGTCCAGGGAAAATCTTCTGATCATGCTCAATAAAAGTATTCATGGACACATTGCAGATGCAGTAAATAATATTATTAGGCCCTCTACAGCTATAAATAGGTCAGAGATGCCAGATGCTTTTCTCCCTTCTTCACAAAACCAAGAGGGCTAGCAAAAAGCTGAATTCAGAGACACATCCCAAAAATAACAGCAGGCGTTTCAAATTTGTGGATAGCTCCTATAGCTAGAGACACAGCCACGCACAGCATAGCATTACAGAATTAAAGCTGTTACCTGCACACATTTGCGTGCATGGCCAGCATTAATGACACAGGCCATCTAGGAAGGATTAAGGATTACTTATCATTTCAACCCAATGAAAGAAGATCTACATTTCTCTTTCAGACACGTAATTCACAGGAGAATTGTGCTTGCCAACACTCTGAAAAAATAATCTTTCAGAATTCTTGCAAACCCGCTGTGTTATGATTTCATCTCATGAAATACAACACCTTTACATTAAACCTCATAAAACTAAATCCTGCTGGATCTCTTCCAGGCTCAGAGAATAAACAGCTATATCAGTAATGCCTAGAACAGTAAAATCCGGCCCACTGTCGCATGGCACGTTCCGATTTACAGAGGGAAGCAGGTCTGCAAACAGCTAATTCACTTTGCTATTACAAAATCCTCACATATAATGAATTTCTCACCTAACTGGTCTAAGAAATACTTCAAGGGGGAAAAAGAATGCTTTGAACACCATAATGCATATTTATGTCTACTAGCCTTTTACCCAGTCCCTGACTTCTCCCTAATGAAATATGTACTGCAGACCGGCTCTGGTTTCTAGCGAGAAGTGAGCTCAGTTGTGTCTGGAACTCTGGGAGATAGCAAGGGGGATGAAATCTGTTGTCAAAACAGTTCAAAGCACAGATGAGTATGTCCAATGAGATTACTTTTTAAAGCCTGATTATTTTGGCTTTGCAGTCTGAAGAGCTAAACCTTTCGGTTTTGCCAGTCCCACTCAGAGCATGAGTAAGGATATTAAAATAACCTGCACAAGTGCACTGGGAGACACAGACCTAGTGCAAAAGCCATCCAGGGGAACTTGCAACCAAATACCGGCCAAATGTTCTCCATACATAGCATATGGCCGAAGAACAAAAGCAATTTTCTATTTCAATTAGGCTCTTCCCTGCTCTTCACAGAGAAGAACGGTTCAATCCCTAAATCTGGGCAGCCTAAACGTGGGAACAGCAATCACAGATACGCACATCTTGCACATTCCTGGAGCCTCTCAGATCACTTTGGAGGCTAATTACACCTCAGGTGAACCACAATGAGATAATCTTCAGGGCTGAAGATCACTCTGCACAACACACGAGCCAAGGCTAACATCACTCAATATCATGCCTCACCCTAAGATTTCCTTCCTCACTTTTTCCATTTGTGTCGGAGCACACCGAATTTTAATAGCCAAGACTGGAAGATGATATTTCTATAGTAAAAGGCAAAAAAAAAAAAAAAAAAAAAAAAAAAAAAAAGGCAAAAAAAAGTTGGGTAGGAGGGAAGGCAGACTGCCTTGAACCTTCCTGCCTGTGCTGGGGCCTGGGTTAATGGTGCTGTAAAATGCCCGTGGCTAGTGACACAAAGCAGAGGGAGGAATCCCAGGGCTGAGGCCCCCAGCGGGTGAGAGCTGCAATGGAGCGGACAAAGGTTTCCTGGGAACTGTCAGTGGGCCCTTTGTGAAGGAGGCAGAAGAGAAACGTCCCTATTAAGATGGGCAATGGGATGATGTAACAGCAGGGTGAGGTCGCTGACCCCAGTGCTGGGAATAATTGGAACGGGATGTGTGCTTGGAGCGCGGCTAATGGCACCCGGAGCTGCGCGCTGAGCAGAGCCCTGCATGACGCTGTCACCACCTCTCCCCAGGGCAGAGAAGGTGGCTGCCCCAAGGACGGCTGCGCTTGGATTTGGGGCCGTCCCAGCCGGCACAGCGACTTTTGTCACTTTGGGGTGCACGACAGAAAGGATCAGCAGCTGTTCATATGCATGGCAACATAAGACGCCTGAGCTCGACCTAGCTGATGACCCAAGACCAGAATGAGCTGCTTTTGTTAGCTGCACTCCCTGGGTGCCTGTGCAATGCAGCACCAGCTGAAATCTAAAGGCCCACAGAGACATGTTGCACTTGAGGAAAGAAAGGGAGAAAAAAGACACAGGTGACAGAAATCCGAGTGAAAGAGAACCTATTATCTGATCTAACATTATCATTCTTAAGGTTTTAATTTGAAATTGCAAGGATCATTCTGTGCTGAACCACAATGGAGACTTGTTTCAGCTTTGTTCATCTTTTTCCACCAGGCACAATTTCAAGTTCCAAATGTGTAACTCTTAAGCAGCTAAGGATACAAGTGTGTAAACCAAGGTATCTGTATTTTCCATGTTACAGAATTTCACTAAACAATGTAATCTCTCTCTCTTCTCACAGGCCTAAGTATTAATCTTGAATCTAAAACATCCTCTGTGGCAACCTTACTTACAGCAACTATGCAAACTTTTGTTTGCTCTGAAGCCTTACAGAGAGGAAATCTTAAACAAATAAACCAGAGAATTATGCTCTCACCTTTTCCATCCCAAACACAAATCTAAGTTTTCCCTAGCAGTAGTCAATCAAACCAGCTAAATATTGACTGGGAACATGGGTTGCAAGACACAGCTTCCTTCAAAACGACACAGTTTCAACCAGACAACCAAGCACCAACATGGACGCCAAGGTCAGATCCCTTGGCTAGGTTAATCTTACAGCCGAGTTTCAGCCCGCAGCACTTTCATATCACATAAAAACACGCGTATCTGAATAAGAGTCTGCAATAAACCTAGCAAGCAAGATTTTTGCTCAGCAAAGCTGCTGCTCTAGCACACTGCAATTTCTTTAGAAGGAAATTAAGATAATGAGGTAAGAGAAAAACACACCACTTGTGTATCATATTTGTTTATGACAAGCAATTGGGAAACACACAGATCAAAGGAAAATTGTACGAGCAACTCAGCATTTGAAAATGAGTGAGCATCCCTCATCCCTTCTTCCTAAATCACCTGCACGCATCTGCATGTATCAAGAAATAAAAAGTACAAATGGGGAAGAAGAGTGTTCAAAATGCATGTCAGATGGGTTTCTCTACAAGCTTATTCAAGTTTACTTTTCTGTATGAAGTCCAGAAAGTTAAAACTGAATTTCAAACTTGCAAGGAGGCAAATAGTATAAGAAAGAAGAAATTGGAGACAATGACTAAAAGTTTGAATATATTCCTTGTTGATGAGTGCTCACTAAGTGATCGTTGCTGCTTTTTTTTAAATAATTTCTGAAGTTCTTGAACGGTACTCATGTAACACCATCATCAGCTATTTCACTCAAACTGGTCTTACGTCAGGTTCTTCAGAATGGGCCTCAAACATCTGGAATTTTATAAAAACAAATATATGGAAATACCAATTTTATAGTCTCCAAATGCATTTTAATTACTGATGTATGTGCCTAATGGCTCGGTGATTTAAATCACTTTGTAATTTAACTACAGTCTAACACAGGCTTATTTGCTGATTTGATTATGGCGTCAAATTGATCTGATTGTCCCACTGCTTTATTTTAAATCAGGTTTAATAATATTTTTTAAACAGCATAGCTTTAGGCAACAGCTTCTCTGGATTTTACTCGTTTAAGAATGTTTTGTTACAAGTTGTTCTTCAGGAGTTATTTCTCTCAACAACTAACACATGCCCAATCCTCGAGGCCATTAGACTATTCAGCTGTAAACGTGATCGTCTCCCTGACAGTAGGAATTGGTTCTTAAGATGGGTTTCTGTATCTGCCCCATTCCCACACTCATTTATAGATGTTTTCTCTGTTAAGCACCACAGAGGCAAAGAAGCAGCTTCTTCCCCACAAGCCTGTAGCACGACAAGATCCCCAGCCCTCAGACCAACACCAGAACTCATCACGTGTCCAGGGTGCAGACAAAGTCACCTGACAGGGATCAGCAAAAGCCATCTGCTGTCTGAAACACCTTGCTGAGCTCAAACACGGGGCTGGAGCTAAGAAACCCACACACTAGCACCCATAGGTGCTCCCAAGCAGTGGCAAGTCACTGATCAGGGGAATGCTACAGAGACCTACCTAGGACATAGGTGGCCAAAGCCTGCCCAATTCCTAATTTAAAGAGTGAAATTTGAAGCTAGACCCCTCATGGCTGGCAACAAGTACCAAAGTCTTACTGCAGACGATAAAGGTGGCGTTCCTGCCCGATGCTGCCATTTCCATGGGAAAGCAGCTATTTTCCTTTCTTCCCTCCTGTAGCATGAATGCCCTACCTGGAGCACAGGTCCCCTGCCATAAGCACTGTCTTTGCTCCAGCAGCAGGGCCCTGCTCGACGCTGAAGGCACTTGCTATTACCAGACTGCAGGAGGACGAGGCGGGGAGAGCAGAAAATACTGTGAAGAGAAAAGAAAAGATATATTACATTATAGCTTTTTTAAATAAAATACAGTAGGAACACCAGGTACCGTGCCATTGGAGCCATGTAGGCTGCGGTCTCTGCTATCTCTAATTGTCATCCAGCACATAGATGAGATAGATAATAACAGGAGCAGTAATCACAAACAGACATTCTGCGTGAGCAAAAAAATGCTTACCACGACAAAAACTGTAGCCAGATATAGATGTATGTCAGATAAATTTGAAGGATCTTAACTTGCTAAAGCACTAGCACGCATATAGATCTAAATTTATATACAAATATATGTGTATGTGTGTATAGCACAGCATCCAAGTACCTACTTTTACCATTTAATGTGAGATGAGGAAAGTAGAAAGCAACATTAAGAACACGAGGTGTGGAATAATATTTTATAATGTCCGTGTGGAAAACATTCAAAACTGGCAAAACTTGCCTGAGGATTTTAAGATACTAATTGCAAGGTGAACCATTGTGCTAAAATACAGATAGAAAAACTAGGAAATTTGCTGCGACTTGGGTTTGTTTTCAATTTGAAAGTAATCAGCCCCAGTCTGATCTGCACCCTTTGCAACATCAAACACAGATTACATACGGGCTAGTTCCAGTCCTCAGCTCAGTGCTTCTGGAGAACAGAACAGCCCAAGAACAGCGGGTAGAAACAGCGCATGCTCCACGTCGATACCTGGTGTCACTGGACAAAGAAATAACTACACAGCATGCACAACCACCACCACGAGGTTCTTCTTTCATACTGCCAGACAATCATTTCCCCTCAGGCACATAGCAACCTGCACCGCTTAGCACATGCTGGGTGCCCCAAGTGAGCTGCTTACTACACCATGCATGGCTGCTGCCTCCTCACTGAGAACTGTAAATGAAGAAAAGAAAGGCTAGGTGATTTCTTTAGGTTTCCTTTCAGGACAGGGAGGGGGAAGAAAAAAGATAAACTTACAGCACATGCGGTTTTTGACAACAGAGCTTTGAAACATTGCGGTAAGAGAAAACAAGACTGCTGCCCAGTCCCAGATCTGGACAATGTTGAGTTCCACCTTATCAGCCCCTGAAACAGTCAGGAGTGATCTGCTGCTGAGCTGCCTCAAGTCAAAACATGCGCAATACTATTTCCCACCCCTCCCCAACAAATGCAACAGTGAGACTCAAGTAATAATAATCTTCAGATACTTTGGCACTAGACATTTTTTAAGTAAAGCAAACATTTTCATCATATTTTTCTTCCACCATGGAAGGAAAAACAGCTTTCTTCCTCACCACTGCCATTTCACAGGTTGACAAGAATGAGCTAAAAAGCCACAGTTTTTCCACTCCGCTCTACAATATTACTAACCAAAGGGTAATTGCTCAAGAACCAAGTTTATGCTTACAGAGTCCCCAGGGCCAGGATCTCTCCAGCCTGCTTGGTCTGGCTACCCCAGCTGCAAGCTGCAGCAGCTCACGGTACCCTGCAGCCACAGCTCATCCCATGATTTTGCAGCCAAAAAGCACGATGCTGACTGTGCATCAGCAGTAAAGGAGCAGGGTTCAGCCTAAGGAAAGCATCAGGCTTTTACTTCAAACTCATCACACCAGCAAAGCATGTCAGCAGGCCATGGAGGACTGCAGAGTGGTCCTCACATGCACTGTATAGCCAGGTAAAGGATCTCAAAGTAAGTGATCTCAGGGAAGCAGATTTAGAAGAATATACAAAGGAGAGACTGACCAACAATATTTCATGCTGCCTGCATTGGAGCAGGTCTTGTCCATTTTTTAGTACACCAGCATCAGTGCATCTCCCCCAGCCACTTCTCAACTACCAGGACAGGCCAGAAAGAGGTACAGAAGATCTGAGCTCACACTAAGGCTTGAGACAGAGAAAGTGGCACCATGACTTTGATATCGATGACACAGACCACACATGCTGCTTAGACAGCAGAGATCGCTCTCAAGAACAAAGGAGTCAATTCATTTTCCCCACAGTTAATTCATTTTCACTAGTATCCATCAGACTATTTCTTCACAGTTTGTTTTCTAGGATGGGGACCCCAGGCTATCCACTCACGGCCTCCATGAGTCCTGTTTTGCTCCTGCAGAGGAAGGCAAACATAGGGGCCTATAAATCAGGATCTGGGAAGACAGCAGCCATCTCACCGGGGGTCACTCGAGCCTCCTGTGTCATTTTGAGCCCCCAAACAACATTTGGCTTTGCAGACCCAGGGAGCCCTACCCCAGTTGCATGGACAAGAACAGAGCTCAGCCTCCTACTTCAGCACTTTCCTTGCAAGAGGGCAAAGTGAGGGTAACAGGGATTGCCTGGTTCTGGCAAGCTTGGGCTGGTTGTATTTACATGATCTCAGGTCATTTCAAATTTATAGTAAATGAGTTTGCCGAAGTTGATTAGAAGTGGAAATAGGGAGTTCTCACAAAGCCTCATCTGAAATCAAAGCTTAACCCAAGAAAAAATGCAGGAAAAAAAGGTGTGCAAACAGGAAACAAACAAACAAGCAAACACTTACAGTGGAAAAAACTGAGCAGATTTCTGTCAGAAATGTCTTATCCTCCGGTGTAGAAAGCAATTATTATCTGTAGTCTAAACAGTCTCTTCAGATCTTGGGTGCTTGCTTGCAGTCTGCACAGCAAGCTGGATCTGTAGACAGTGGCATAGGCAGCTGGCAAGTTGCCTTCTGACCACACTGACTTCCACCTGAAGGGCTGTCAGTGGCACACAAAAAAACGTCAGGAAATAAAAAAAAGGAGAGAGATTAAAAATTACCAAAAAAAGGTCATTTTAATAAATATCCCTGTCATTCATTTAGAGTAAGAGTAAACACGCTAGTAGATCCTCTTTCCTGAAGAGGACTTTGGGGACCAAGGCTTGTGGGACCACCTTCAGGAGGTGACATCTCCTGCAAGCAGCAACGGCGACAACCTCTGGCATTCCTCAGGACTTGGCAAAACAGGCTTAAAATGGACACCAGAAGTCCATTTGGTGGGGCTCAGTGCCATGGAAGATGACTGAGGCCGAGATCTGTTGCTTAAAGAAATGAATTGAAAACAGATAGACGGCAAGAATATGTGGAGCTGTAGGAAATTGACTGCTTTTAAGCACTTTCACAAAGGGTGCTAGACATCCATGGTATTTGTTTTCAGCGTTTGAGAGGCTGGTCTACAGGGAAGTCACACCCATGAGCATGCCCTATTGGAAAGATCCTCCAAACCCTCCCTGCAATGACTGGCACTGGCTTCAAACAGGTACCAGCTGCTAGTCCACGGCAGCAATGCAGCCACTAGGCAAGCATGGCTGCCCCTTGCCCTCTCGGTGGATGCTGCATGTCTCCTCCCTTTCTTATGCCACAGACAGTGACCAAAACTGGATGTATAGGGACACTGCAATTTACAGAAGTTATAAGGGTTTTATGGGAAAGGCTGGCTTCCCATAAAACATCTCTATAAGAAGATATATTCAGTAGCTGATTAATGAATGTGGTTTACCACAAAATGATACTACACAGGCCTACTCTCTTCAATAATAATCCCATAAATAATATTATTAAAAATGCCAGAAATATCCAAGCAATAAAGCTGCGCTGGGATCTCAGTGCTTTGTCTGCTGCTTCTCTTTTTGTGACAAATCAGCACAAACATAATTCTTTGAGGGAGCTTCTAGGTGAAGACAGAAGGGAAAGGGATGTGCCTGCATAGCATGGGGCCAGTCTCATGCAGAAGAATGTGCCAAGAAATGGAATGTCAAAAACCCTTGGACACTCAGAGCTGAGGAAAAATCCCTGATCTGGAGAGGGCTGTCGGTCCAGAAGCTTCACATCCAGCGTTTGCCTACCTCTGTCTTCAGCACCTCGCAAGGGTAGGCTGGGCAGGAGGGTTTGGTGCAGGTTTGGAGCTTCTCCATAGGGGTCCATCCTCAGACCCTCAAACACAGCTGCGGGACAGCCCCGTGGGCAGGGAGGTGCCTCCATCAGGGGTAAGGAGCACGCTTGTGGTTCACATTTTCTCCCCCCCGCCTTGCCCTTCGCTGCCCTGGGTGCTACAAGTGGGGGTACTTTGCACTCTCCCACAGTGAGGTGGCTTACACCTCCTGCTCCCACGTCCAAGACTGGGGAAGTGAGCCGGCAACATCACTTCACCGTCGGCGGTGAACGGACCAAGCGTGGGCACGGGGGGACGAGGAGAGAGGAGCGTCCAGCCGCTCCGCAGCGGCTCGGAGAGCTGCACAGCTCATCGCGGAGCAGCCGCGACCCCGAAGCGGCCCCGCAGCCCCTGCTCGGACAAGGGGCTCCGGGAGTTTTTGTTCGCGGGGATGTTTCCGCCCCTTCCCCACGCACACACTTTTAAGGATTTCCTGCCAAAAGACAATCCCCCCGAGCCGAAGCAGAGCAAGAAAGTAGTGACCAATCCTTTCCGGATGGCTGTCACCAAGCTCCTCCCAGCCCCCCGCTCCCCCTGCCATTTGCATACAAAACATCCAGAGAACTCCCGTTGGCCCCCGCACCTCTCAGAGCCTCCGTCCGTCAGGCAGCAGAGCAGCCTGAGCTGGGGCCGCTCGGCACTCCGCTCAGCCCACCGCCCCGCCATGCCGCGCCGCCTCTGCGCCCTGCTCCTGCTGGCCTCCCAGTGCCTGGCTTCGGCCGCCGGGCTCTTCCCCTTCGGGGAGCCCGACTTCTCCTACAAGCGCTCCAACTGCAAACCCATCCCCGCCCCGATGCTCCTGTGCCGAGGCATCGAGTACCAGAGCATGCGGCTGCCCAACCTGCTGGGGCACGAGACGGTGCAGGAGGTGCTGGAGCAGGCCTCCACCTGGATCCCGCTGGTGCAGAAGCAGTGTCACCCCGACACCAGGAAATTCCTCTGCTCCCTCTTCGCCCCCGTCTGCATCGATGACCTGGACGAGATCATCCAGCCCTGCCACTCGCTCTGTGAGGAGGTGAAGGAGAGCTGCGCGCCAGTGATGTCTGCTTTCGGCTTCCCCTGGCCCGACATGCTGGACTGCAGCCGCTTCCCCAAGGACAATGACCTCTGCATCCCGCTGGCCAGCAGTGACCACATTCTCCCAGTCACCAGGGAAGGTAAGAGCTGGCTGCCCCGATGCTGGGTCCGCTGCTCGGTCAGGCTCGAGGAGGTTCCCTCCATGGCACCCCAGCCCTGGGAACCGCTGCCTTTCCCCACAGCTCTGAAATGAAGTTCTGGGCTTGGCTCTGCAGAGCTGCTCACATCCCCTCAGGTGTGCCGGGTGGTGAGGCTGGCAGCAGTCACCTCCTCGTGGAGAATATCTGTGACCCCCGGCTGGAGCTACATGGTTCCCTGAGACAGTAATGGGGGCATCCCCCTCTTGCAGCAATCATTGCTGAAGCATGGGGTTGGGGAGCTCCCCCCACCCGCTTCTGCTCTTTTTGCAATAGGGGAAAAAAAAAGTAAGAAAGAAAAAGGTTGGTTTAGCGTGACCCTAAGAGCACCTTGTGTGCTCTCCTCCAGTGGCTTGTGACCAAAGTGAGGGAAAGGGAGAAGGCGCACGGTCAGGCTGTCCAGCTGGAAAAGTCGTGTTTCCCCGAAGGGTTCCCAACGCCACCTGCTGTTCCTTTCTCCTTGAGCCTGACAAGGACTGTCCCTTGTATTTCTAGCACCCAAAGTCTGTGATGCGTGCAAGAACAAAAATGAGGACGATAATGACATCATGGAAAACCTCTGCAAAAATGACTTTGGTAAGTGGCAGCAGAGCCCCTTGATTAAAACTTGAGGGATTAGGAGCAGGTAAAACTCCCAGTGGAGTCAGAGAGACATGCCTGAATAAAGGCAGGGCTTTGTCTCATCTGCAGATGGACTTGTCCATCCTGTTGCATCTGACCATTCTGGTCATGAAACACAAAATTGCATCTCTGAGAAAAAATCAGCTCTTTTATAGTCCTTTCCTGTGTGCTGTTTCAAAGTAGTACTCTTTTATGTGGACACTGCAACCAAGCCGAATAGAAAATAGTGAAAAAAGGAATCTTTCATCTGGACTATTGCCTGGGGAGAAGTACAACAAAGCTTCACATAGACATATGAGAAAGAGCTGCATGGCATATAGTAAGAAAGACTTTCTCCACAGATTAAGAATGAAGCTCTATGTAATATCTGACAGAGAACGTAATGCACAGAAAATTGGGGATGTAAACTTAATGTGAAGATCTGGGGTTAGAAGAGGATGAGAAAGCCCGTTCAACACAGGCAGCAGAAGGGTACATTATCTGCATATTAGCATTTCAAGAGAAAAGGGGAATGAGGAGGGGAATCATAACAGGGCAGTATTTATATATATATAAAGATTTTATAATAACTAAATAATTTGCATTTATTTATATACCTGGAAACAGATCTGTACTAGAAATATCTGCAAGAATTCAAAAGCGTCTCTTAAAATGAACAATAACAACAACAAAACAAACGAACAAAAAAACCCCACAACCTGTGGAATTCTGATTGCAGGACATAACTGCTAAAACAACCAATAGCTTTGGCCTGGCAAACTGCACTCAGATAAATCCTCCTAAAGCTAAATGTGCCCCACAGATTCTTAAAGCGTCTTGTATCCCCCTCCTCATTTTTTTTTCACCAAATCAAATGCAGCTGTTGGACCAATTTGCCCTCTATGGGATCTATTCTTTCAAAGAAACAACAATGTATGTGAAATATCATTTCCTTGCAGGTTTGCCTAAAATCCTCTCCAGCCTAATAAATTAAGCTTAGAACTTTTCAGCTGCAGTAGAGATCAGGTTTCAGATTAGGTTTAGGTATTCACCTCCCCACCACCCCTTCATATTCTAGGGTTTCAGGAATACATCCCATCCCAGCAAAAACTGGAGTGCTGCTTAACATAGCAAAGCTGCCCTCCCTCTGTTTGCAAACAGGAGAAAAGCTGAAGAAAATATTAATGTAGGAAGGAAGGAAAAAGAGGGGGAGGGGAAAGAGGAGAAAAGAAACCCCAAAACCCTCAGCCCTAAGGTTGATTCAAACTGAAATGACTTGCATGCCCTTTCTGGCTTTAGAAATGGAGCCACCTGCTGCCTCCTCTGTCAGCCCTGACAGTTTAATTAGCAATAGAGCACCTCCCTCCCCAGGTCCTCTTTATGTGCACTAATGGGAAAAAAACTCTTAATCTCTCTCCCTCTCACCCCCCTCCCTCCTCCCCTTGCTCTATTAGCCTTGAAGATAAAAGTGAAGGAGATTGCCTACATCAATGGGGATACCAAGATCACCCCTGAAACAAAGAGCAAGACCATCTACAAGCTGAATGGGCTGACCGAAAGAGATCTGAGAAAGATCGTGCTCTGGCTGAAAGGTGGCCTCCAGTGTACCTGTGACGAGATGAACGACATCAACGTCCCCTACTTGGTGATGGGGCAAAAGCAAGCTGGGGAACTGGTGATCACCTCGCTGAAGCGGTGGCAGAAAGGGCAGCGGGCTTTCAAGCGGTTCTCCCGCAGCATCCGCAAACTGCAGTGTTAGTGGCTTTGGCTGTGTTGGCTTCCAGCGGCCTCCTCTGTCCCAAGCTCTCCAGACCTCCCCAGCCTTCTTTCTTCAGCCTCTCTGCGCCTTGAGATGCCCTGGCCAGGAGACACAGCAACCAATCTCCGAGATGGGGAGAGCCCTCCGTTTCTGTACATAGGTTAAATGTAATAAAAATATATATATCATGACTATTTTGGGGAAGTATTAAACTATCTCACTTAACAGTTGTTTTTTTTTGTTTGTTTGTTTGTTCTAAATGGTTGCAAATGTGACTCTTCCCTGAGGCTTTTCCCTCTTCGTTTTGGTAATGCCGGTTCATTTAATTGCTGCCTCTCTGTATACATGCGTGTTTGTTGTGCAAAAGTAGGAGACGGGAAGACAGATGTGTGCACCTGGCCCGCCACAAGGGGTACGACTCTTTCACTGAGGTGAAATGGCTTGCCATCTATATTAAAATTATAAAGGTCATGTTACAACTCTTGCATGTGATACATAGGCACCAATAAGGGTATATTAGCCATTCTCAAGTTTTGTTTTCCACAAGACTGAGCCCTTTTCTTAGGAGAAAAAACAAAAACAAAAAACAAAAAGGTTTTGGAACTGGTTTATCTGAATGCAACTTTTTTCTTCTTATTTTGCAAATTAAACCATCTGTAGCCTAACTGTAACATACCTAGTGGTTAACCTGAGAGAGTTGTAAAATATTGCTTTAATTAACCTTGTAAATACTCCAGATAAATGTTATATTCTTGTATATAAACTTTACATCATAGTTTTCCTATTGTCTTGATTTGTTCTTGGACAAATTGACTTTAATCTGTTTTGGGAAAAAGGTGTCCAACTGCGCCTTGTCATGGCAAAACAAGATTCACCCTTCTACCCCAAATGACCAACAGTCACCAACAGTGAAACTGCTGATGCTGGCTGCAATTAAGAAAACCATGCAGTACCTCATTTCCCCAAAGACCAACCCATGTAACATGAAGGTTGGGGTACACTTAACTCATTTTAATAGATTTCTGTTGAGCTCTTCGAGATGAAAACTTCTCTGTGGTTTCTTTGACTGCCTACAGTTTCATCCCATCTCAGAAGACTCTGCTGATGTGGAATAGCAATGAAATCACTTGCTTAAAAATCATACCCATTTATCCATTTCTTACACTTGTCCAAGAGTAGACAAAAACCTGATTTGTTACTAACAGTTCAGAATAATTTAAATGGTAGAATAAAGTATGTTTTGTGTGCACTTTCAGTATTCCTATTTAGAAAATAAACCATTTGCACTACCCTAATAGTGTAACTAGAGCAATGTCTTTCAGCATTTTTCCTGCAAATATTTTCTATGGAAGAGCATTACCTGCTAGAGTTTTATTATACTTATCCTGGATGGGCCTCTGAGCATCTTCTAGAGAAAGATACCCATGGCGGGGAGCTAGAACTAGATGATCTTTAATGTCACTTCCAACCAAAGTGGACTATGTGGTTCTGTGAAAAATAATCTTACCTGCCACTGCTGCCATGCATATAAAGTTCCTTTCAACCTCATTAAGAGGATGACAAACCCAGTATTTACAAGGACAATGCTTTATGTTAGCCATTCACTGAGAGAATGCAAATCCAACCCCAGATTTTTTTTAGAAGTAAATAATCATAATCATTTCATATATTTGGTGTGATTTTTCACCTATTATACCCAGTATATAATACCCAGTATTGAAAGAAAAAATCGAAATTTAATTTGTTTCAGAAAAATTCTTATCTGCCCTCTTCCCGAATCTTCATGCGTTTACTATATCCCATACAAACAATGGTAGGACTTTGAGCAAGTAAGACAAGATCAGTCCTCATAAGCATCCTCAGAAATATAGCAATAACAATAAAAAAAAAAAAAAAACCAAAGCACCTCAATTCCAAACTGTTTTTTCACATTTTGTGAAACAGTATCAATTTAAAGTCCAATACTTTGCTTTAAAAATTTTCCTCTGAATGGACATAGCTTCCCGGAACAGATTTGAGTCTTCTCACACTTGGGAGTAATTACTTTCATATCAGTACTGTGTCCATCATCATCCAGATGTCACATAACTCTACCCATCTCCCTCAGCACATCACCTAACACCTGTCACTAAATGGGTCTTGGATATATTAGAGGGAACTAGCTCACAGAAAAAGGGCCGGCGGGTGGAGACAAGCCTGCAGAAAAATGGGACTGTGCTGCTTGGTGAAGGAAAGTGCTTTGAAGAGGCAGCAGTTGCAATGCAGGCTCTGGGGACCAAAACCAACAACAAGGACTGCTCCACACAGCCTGCCTAACCGACACTAAGTCCTCTTCTAAGAGAGCAACCATAAAATTATCTTAATTGGGCTATCCTAGAAGGTAGCAGTAGTGATGCCGATGAAGACAGACAGGTCACAAGTTATTCACTCTGGGGTCATACCGAGGGCAAGACTACACAAGAGATCTTTACTTAAGTGGTGTGGATGTACGAAAAGAAACCATGACATCACTCTGTCTTAAAAAAAAAATAAAAAAATCTCCTTCCACCACAAAATAAACACTGTTACACCAGCAAAACCGTGGAGGAGAACAAGAATAAACCAGATCTGCCAACATTTGAATCCGGTCGTGTAACTGGTGACCAGGATTAGCAGCATTCTGTCCTTACTTATAAAGCCTTCTGCATGTGTCCGTGGATGGACTCACTGGGACCATCCAGCCTCAGAGCGAGCTGGTAGAGGTGGAATTACCTTTCACATAAACAGGGCTTGGGCAAACATGAAGAGTAATAGGAGTCACACTTCCTGAATTGAGCTGTTCTAACAGCATTGTGGAAAAAGATGGGTACCATTCTCCACACTGAGGAAAGAGAACATCGGGGTTGATGTTATACAACCCATTTCCAAAGGTGTATAAGCCAGACATTGCAAACTCTTCAACCAAAAATCAGAATTTCAGAGTCACAGCCTGAGGAAACTTCATTTGGCAGATGCTGGTAAAGAAGTAAACACATACATTTTTCACATTTTTATCCTTAGTCTTATTCACTAAACAACTGAAAATCTTTGTGTCACGCAAAGAGTGAAACCAACATGTAAAAAGTGATCAGGACTTGCTACTCCTGATCAGTGTTTTGCATTTAGTGTGGAGTAAATTCATTACCTGGTACAGCATGATTCAGTTATGGCAGAAATTTGTTTCCAACTGATGAAAAAACACAACTTGCTGTTGCATTTTTTAGACACTTTTTGTCTTCCTCTAATTAAAAAAAAACATTGTTAGGCAGCCAACTGTGTAGCTCCATTGTATTTGCTTTCATAAAAACTATGAAAGCAGTCGACTACAATGGATTAGTTTAAGAACAATAATCATACTTGACATTTATACAGAAGTTTCCATTTAAGTTTCTCAGACTGCCTTCAAAAAACAGGCACTAATGTCCCTGTTCTGTAGATCAGGAAAATGAGGCACAGTGAGGTAAAGTAACTCGCCCAGAAGCCACCCAGCAGGTTCCTCTGCAGTCATGAAAAGAAGCGTGTCTTTCTACTCCAAGTTTTATGTCCTCATCACTAGACCACAGCAATCAGAACGGTGTATTGTTGTGGTTTCGCGATTTTTCGTTGTCACTATTCCACATCAGAACATCACGTGGACCGCTGGGAGTTAACGAGTTAATGTTTCGGTTCTGTTCACGGCCTTTTGTGGACTCTGTGAGTGTCCTGATGGAGGGGAGTGGGCGGCATCCCTGCAGGACCTGGCGGGCAGAGGCAGTGGGGTGAAGCTGCGGATGGGACCCGAGCGTCGGTCTCCCTCCGTCCGGCCCTGGCCACTCGTCTCATCTCGCCGCGGAGCAAAGCGCGTACCTTCCATCACACCATCGTGGTTTGTCTGGCATTTTGGATACTCTCGTGTCTCTCATTTCGTTTGATTTGGTTAAATTCAGTAAATTACCATTCCTCCTCAGATCGTTGCCATTGTGTTTTCTCCTGGTTAAAACTATCTGCCAGCTTTCTGCCCTTCCCCCTCTCCCAGAGCTCACTTTCGTACCCCTTTCCTTTTTTCTCCTTCCTGGGCCTGTGTCCCTCTGTCACGGACTTACATCTAAGGATAACCCCATGATGTATATAATCAAGGCAGCACAATGATTATAATCCAAGGCTCCCCCCAACTTCTCATTTTCCCCAAGCGTGCAAGAAATATTAAAAAAAAAAGTTTGTCCAAATTCAAATTTTAAACCTATCAGCACCATTCCTTGCAGTCTTTTCCTTTCTTCCTTATTTATCATCTCTATTCGTCTGTTACTTCTTAATCCTTTCCTTTCTTTCTTGCTTCTCATTCACTTCAGACATTCACAGAGAAGCTATTCAGCCTCTCTCTCATCCCCTCTTGTACAGACACTCTCACTTAGTATGTTTTATTAAAGGACTCATGCAGTATGACTGTGCATAAGTCACAACAATTCTAATAGCCTAGCTTTAAGAAATGAAAAGGCCTGTGTGAGAAATTCAGCAAGAGACATTTAAATTAATTAAATAAATTAATGATTTTCTCTGAGGACTGGAGGAGGAGTTAAGTGCAACAAAGAGCACAACTGACACACACCAGTCATCCCAGGCACAGCCATTATTCTTATTATGCAACAGGAGAATATAAAGACTTCTAGAGAGTATAGACAGCGTATAGAGCATACAGATACAGCACTCCTTGGATTGGATTTTAGGAAAAACTTCTCAGAAAAAGTGGAGCAGACTGCTCAGGGAAGTGATGCAGTTACCATCAAGAACTGTGTGGATATGGCAGTGAGAGATGTAAAGCAATCACAGGCATGGGTTGATGGTTGGACTGGATGCTCTTTCCAACCTTGACAATTCTATGATTCTGTGATGCCTTCCCTTGCATATCACCCACACATCTCAGTCCTACAATTCTAACTCCATGTTCCTCCACTGGGGTTAAGGAGCACCCATCTCAACCCTCTTCCTGACATTTTGCTACCTCTCCACAGTCACCCAGCGTACTGGCCAAGAGTAGAGCTACCATGACTCTACCTCATCATCTCCTGGTGCCTGCTGTAGCATGAGAGATCTACAGGAAGGTGGCAGAACAGCTTTTTGTCTGCTGCTTCTGCTCTGCCCTCACCATCTACCAGTTTTGTGAGTCCTCATGACGTGGCCACTGCTGGTAACACCGAAGAAGGAGTGATGGCTTGATCACTTCCAGAACAGTAAGGGGTCTCCCTCAGGTTGGACAGCCAAAGCTTTTGTTTTTGGAGCCAGAAGCTCTTATTTCTAGGCTTCAGAGATATGTTCCTATGATTTATTTACACATTGCCTTCTTATCAACAGATGCAGATTCAGTACTGTCTGTCTGATGACACAACCACAGGAATGGATCTTATTTGCCTCTAAACGAAGAGTGCAAGATATTCACATCACAGGAATGCAAGACCTCAAGCTGCCTTACAAACATTAATTAGCCCGTGCTACGTCCCTTTGGGGTGAGGTTCAATAGGGTAACATCTTCCAAATGCATCCAGCCCCTTCAGGGTGAGCTGCGAGCTCCTAAATCACCTGGATAGCTTGGAAAATATGAGCCTTTATCTCTGAGCAGAGTTGCAGGCGACTGGTGGAGGTCAGCCAACTAGCCTGTCTCCCAGCCAGGAGGAGCACCTCAGCAGTCAGTAAGCCAGCCCATTGTTCTCACAGCCATCAGAATAACCATCCAACACAGAAAGCTGCACAGCAATGCAGCTGGTCAAA